GAGCCTTCCTATCCATTAACTTCCTTTTTTTCCATATTCTTTTTTGATTTTTAAAAATGTTTTTATTGATTTTAGAGGGAGAGAGAAACCTCGATCTGCTGCCTCCTGCATGCTCCCTATTGGGGACTGACCCTGAAACCTGGGCATGTGCCCTGACTGGGAATCAAAGCAGCAACCTCTTGGTTCATGGGACAACACTCAACCAACTGAGCCACAGTGGCCAGGGCTCCATATTCTTTTAAAATTTTTTTATTGAATTTATTAGGGTGACATGGGTTAATAAAATTATATAGGTTTCCAGTGTACAATTCTATAATACACCATCTGTATATTGTATTGTGCGTTCATCAAAGTCAAGTCTCCTTCTGTCACCATTTATTCCCCCTTTACCCTCTTCTACCTCCCCTCAGCCCCTTATCCATGAACTTCTTATTCATTGACTTAACTATTTATTACTTACTATGTTTCATTCAAGTTTTAAAATGTTTTCTTCATAAAATTCTTGCATATCTTATGTTACAATTTTATTTATATATATTTTTTTAATCCTCACCCAAGGACATTTTTTCCATTGTTTTCAGAGAGAGTGGAAGGGAAAGAGAGAGACATAGATGTGAGAGAGGCACATCAGTTGGTTGCCTCCTGCATGAGCCCCAGCCAGGGAGGGAATCAAGCCTGTAACCGAACCGAGGTATGTGCCCTTGGCTGGAATTGAACCTGGGACCCTTCAGTCTGAGGGCCAATACTCTAACCACTGAGCCAAACCAGCTAGGGCTATTCATTTATAATTTTGATGCTACTCTGAATGGTATCTTATGAATTATATTTTATCTGTTTGTTGCCAGTATGTAGAAATGCAACTACAAACGTACTAAATTCTTCTATTCTTGAAATTTATTGTTTTCTACATAGACTTTCTAACAGTTTTGTTTCTTTCTTTCTATATTAGTTATCTATTGGTGTGTAACAAATTACCTCAAACTTAGTGGCTTAAAACAACATACACTTACTATCTTCCGGTTCCTGTGGGTCACTTAGATGGGTCCCCTGTTCAGGGCCTCACAAGGCTGCAATCAAGTTGTCAGCCAGGCTGTGGTCCTTTTCAGAGCTTAGGGTGCTCTTCCAAGATAGAACTGTGGTCCTCATTTGTTGCTGGCTGTCAGCTAGCGGGTGCTCTCAGTTCTTAAGAGCCCTCACAGTTCCTTGCCACATGGCCTATTCGCAAGCTTTCTCGCATGGCAGTTTGCTTCTTCAAAGCCAGAAGAATACTCACCTAGTCTTACACAACACAATGTAATCACAAAGACTAAATAATTCTACCACTTTTGCCCAGAACATAACCCAATCCCGGGGGAGTGATTACAATCCACCTTTGCCATATTCCGTTTGCTAGAAGAGAGTCTCAGGCTCTGACCACACTCAGAGAGGATGTGATTCATTGGAGATTAATTTAGAGTAAATTTTCAATACCAATAGCTTCTTTATTTCTTTTTTTTGCTATACTACACAGGGAGGCTCACAGTATAATGTTGAAAACAAATAATCTTATCACTTTAAAGAAAATGGGTTAATAATTCACCATAAAGATGTTTGCTGTTGGCTTTTTGTAAATGCCATTTATTAGGTTAAAGAAGTTCTACTTTAAGTTTTCTAATTTTTTAAAAATTAAAAATGACTGTTGAATTTTATCAAACGTTTCTTCTGCATCCTTTGAGGTGATTTTCCCCCTTCGTTGTTAAACTACCCTTGCGTTCCTGAAATAAACTCAACTTACTTATGTCTTTTCTTTCCTACTCATTGCTGGATTTAGTTTGCTATTTTGCTTTGGGTTTTTCAAATGTGTCCTCATGATTGAGATTAAGTTTTGTTATTCTAGTCTCTTGAAATTGAGTTGGAGTTTGTTCTCTCTTTTTCTATACTTTGGAAAAATTTGTAGAAGATTATAATTATTTGCTTTCTGAATTTTTAGAACTCTCCTGAGAAATGGTCTGGGCTTGTGTTCTTTCTAGGAAGATTATTAAAATAGAAATTCACTTTAACAACTATTAAATTATTGTTTTTCTTTTATTCTTTCAATTTCAATAGCACAGTTTTGAAGAATTTGCTCATTTCATATATTTTCAAATTTGTTGGCATGAAGTTGTTCATAATAGCCTCTTTAAAAACACCTTTAATCTTAGTGCCATCTACAGTTATTTCCATTTTTAGTACTAAGGTTTTTTTCTCCACTTAAAACAAAACAAACAAACAAACAAAAAACACACCTTAACAGAGATTTGAGTTTATTAGTCATTTAGAGAAGCAATGTTTGACTTTGAGGATCCTCTCTACTATATTATTTTTATTAATTTAATTACTTTCAGCTTTTATCTTATTTTCATTTTATTTCCTTAGACTTATTTTCATTCTTTTTCTAATATCCTAAGGTAGTTAGCTTACCTAATTAAATATCAACCTTTCTTCTTTTAACATGTTATTTTCCTAATTACTACTTTAACTGCATCCTATGTTTTGATTCATAGTATCCAGTTTTGGAAAGTTTTTCTTTTGGGGCTATGAGTAAGAAGTGTTTCTTATTTCTGAACACACGGGGTCTTCCTAGTTAGCTTTCAGTTGTTAGTCTCTAATTTTATTGCAGTGTAATCAGGAAGCATGTTCTGTGTTGTTAAAATTTGCTTCTTGGCCAATATTGTGATCAAATTGTTAATTAGGTATATCAAAACTTCTGATCTGTTTGCCTAATCATCAATTATGTTGAAATTTCACCATAATGGTAAATCTATTTCTTTGTATTTCTGCCACTTTTTGCCTTGTATATTTTCAGGCTGTTATTCAGTGCATACCAGTTTAGAATTCATATATATTCTTGATTTTTTTTTTTTTTCTAATGCCTTTCAGGCTGTGTGTGTGTGTTATGATTTCTTTCTTTTTTAAAATCTATTTTTATTTCAGAGAGAGGATGGGAGGGAGAGAAACATCAATGATGAGAGACAGTCATTGATCAGCTGCCTCCTGCACACCCTGTACTGGGGATCAAACCCGAAACCCAGGCAAGTGCCCTGGCCAGGAATCGAACCGTAACCTCCTGGTTCATGGGTCAACGCTACTGCTAGGCTGTGTGATCTTTTAAAAATTTTTTTTAAATAGGTCTTTATTGATTTCAGAGGGAGGAAGGGAGACAGGGAGAGAGAGAAACATCAATGATGAGTCATTGATCGGCTGCCTCCTGCATGCCCCACACTGGGGATCAAGTCCGAAACCTGGGCATGAGCCCTGACCAGGAATCGAACTGTGATCTCCTGGATCATAGGTCAATGCTCAACCACTGAGCCACGCTGGCCGGGCTGTGATTTCTTTTGAGTAACATTTGTCTAATATATTGTTTCCCTTTTATGTTCAACATTTTGGTATTCTCATTTTAGTTGTGCTTCTGGAAAAATGCATATCACTTGATATTTAAAAACAAAATACATCCTGACAAATCCTATTACTGTCATATATTTTAATCAATCACATAAGACACTATTATTTTTATTATTTAGAATTAACATATATATTCTTTTTTTTTTTTTTTTTTTTTTT